AGTGCAGTGGCAGGCTTGCAGCCTCAAGACCTGCTAGGTTCAGGTGATCCTTCCGCTTCAGCCTTTCAAGTAGCTGGAACCACATTTGTGTGCCACCATACCCAGCTAATTTTTTAATTTATTGTAGTGATGAGGTCTCAACCAGGCTACCCAGGCTGGTCTTGAACCCCTGAGCTCAGGCAATGCTCCCACCTCCCAAAGTGCTGGGATTACAAATGTGAGCCACCACACCTGGCTAACAAGATGTTTTAATAAGATATTACTGAGGGCACTTCTCCAAACTAAAAATAACATAATAAGGATATGGAGTAAATATTCAAAAATTTTTATTTGCTTTTTTTTTTTTTTGGTCAGAAAGAGGTGTGACAAGTAAGAAGGAAAGTGGTATCAGGAGGAGGAAGTAAAAAACACCTAAATAATGAAATGTTAGCTTTTTGCTCATAATTCTTTTCATGATTCCAAGTTGGGGCTCCTCTGCACCATACCTTCCAATCCAGCTGGACAGCTTTTTCCTGACACATGTTCAGGCTTTGCCATTTGACACAGTCTCTCTGCCTAGAGTGTCCCTTTTCTCATCACTTGCATGTCCAGTTCTCTGTGCTGCAGCGCTCCGTCCTGGTGCACTTTTCTAATTTCGTTGGTTGCCTTGAGAACACTTACTCTCATCTTTGTGTCCTCTAAAGTTATGGTCCTTTGTATTGAATAAGTGCTAAATAAAGGGTTGTGGACCTAAAGTGATAAGTGAGGCAGACAAAGGAATGGAACCAACTACATCCTTAGGGGAGGAGAAAGTGCAACTTAAAATTATCAGATGCTGGGGTGAATTCTGGGAGAGAGCTTGGGAAACCCTTACAGTCTCGGTGGCAGCCTGGAGGGGAAAGGGCCTGTGCTGAGTTCGGAAACTGGAGTGTGGGGAACAGGTAGCCAACAGTATGCCCTTGGCCTGGTCATATCACTTCTGGGCTGGAGTTATCTCCTTCAAAACATGTTGGAGGCCGGGCACAGGGATGCAGACTTGTAATTGCAGCACTTTGGGAGGTTGAGGCGAGAGGATTGCCTGAGCCCAGGGGTTTGAGACAAGCCTGGGCAACTTGGTGAGACCTCGTGTCTACAATAATCAAAAAATTGGCTGGGCGTGGTAGCGTACGCCTGTAGTTTCTGCTACTTGGAAGCCTGAGGCAGAAGGATCGCCTGAGCCCAGTGGGTCGAGGCTGCGGTGGCTGTGATCATGCCACGGCACTCCAACCTGTTCGACAGTGAGACTCCAACTCAAAAAAAAAAAAGTTAGGATTAGACTTTTTGGACATGTGGTAGAAGTGATGTGGATGAGCATCTCCCATGTAACAAGTGCTGTTCTGGGTTGTGAGAGTACAGTAGGGAACAACCAGACAAGCCCTCTACTTCTATTCCAGTCGGATGCATTGGTTGCAAAGTTAGTCCTTTTTAGCCTTAAAATAATGTAATTCTGTTGTCTGGAGAAATGGGCACCAACTTGTGTTTGAGATTGCTGTGAGGATCAGGTGAGAAAGTGCTATAAAGATTATAAAGTATCCTTGTTATGTATACTTTCCTCTGCCCTTGTTTTTGACCTAAAACCTAAACAAATTAAAAATGTTTAAAATTGGGCCATTGCCTTACTAGACTCATGTGCTCTTTAAGCTGTAGTTATCACCATGTTTCTTGACTTTGACCCCCTTCTCTACCTTGGGGAGGCAAAGCTCCTCTTTCTCTCTCTCTCTCTCTCTAATTTACTTTTTTTTTTTTTTTTTTGAGTTGGAG